TTTGAATTTCAGAAGATGGCTATATTCTAACACCAAAATCGGCCACAGATGGTTCAAATCTCAGCCGGTTCAGCAGAAACCATGTATGGGCAGGCTGAATGTACCCAAGTTGAGCAATCAATCAGCTTAGGAACAACCAGCCTGCCGAATTGTACGTCATTATTGCTAACGGCTATATAATCACCGTGTTCTCGCAGTGGGAATGGCTCCCCCCCACCCCCTTGCCCGGAGAACACAATGTCTCGGCGGGAGGGATTCCCTCTGTGTTGATCGATCGCAATCCATGGTTGCAGGGAAGAAATTTGCTCCGTCTATGGCCAGCCTAATACACACAGTCTTTGACGGAAATCACCAATAGTCCGCAATAGGTTTACAGTTCGAATTTGTATTCAAATCATTTATTTCGGACACAATTTCGATTCGTTATTCTGGATTTGTTTAACTTCTTCACGCCGGCGCCTCCCGACCCTTTAGAGGGTTTCAGACGCCGGGAGGCGGGGGCGGGGTTTTAGGGTCATGTGACGGCCATGATTTGCTGTCACAGCAGTCACATGATCTGAAAAGGTCGATCGCAAGGGGGGATCGGGACCTTTCCATGAGATACCGACATTTTTTTTTTTTTCAGGTACTTGTATACAGCCATCAATTTACGAAATGCTTTACATATATATTGTACATTCCCATCGGTCCCTAACCCTCAAGGGGCGTACAATCTAAGGTCCCTAACCCTCAAGGGGGGTACAATCTAAGGTCCCTAACCCTCAAGGGGCGTACAATCTAAGGTCCCTAACCCTCAAGGGGGGTACAATCTAAGGTCCCTAACCCTCAAGGGGCGTACAATCTAAGGTCCCTAACCCTCAAGGGGTGTACAATCTAAGGTCCCTAACCCTCAAGGGGGGTACAATCTAAGGTCCCTAACCCTCAAGGGGCGTACAATCTAAGGTCCCTAACGCTCAAGGGGCGTACAATCTAAGGTCCCTAACGCTCAAGGGGCGTACAATCTAAGGTCCCTAACGCTCAAGGGGGGTACAATCTAAGGTCCCTAGCCCTCAAGGGGGGTACAATCTAAGGTCCCTAACCCTCAAGGGGCGTACAATCTAAGGTCCCTAACCCTCAAGGGGCATACAATCTAAGGTCCCTAACCCTCAAGGGGCGTACAATCTAAGGTCCCTAACCCTCAAGGGGGGTACAATCTAAGGTCCCTAACCCTCAAGGGGGGTACAATCTAAGGTCCCTAACCCTCAAGGGGGGTACAATCTAAGGTCCCTAACCCTCAAGGGGTATACAATCTAAGGTCCCTAACCCTCAAGGGGGGTACAATCTAAGGTCCCTAACCCTCAAGGGGCGTACAATCTAAGGTCCCTAACCCTCAAGGGGGGTACAATCTAAGGTCCCTAACCCTCAAGGGGCGTACAATCTAAGGTCCCTAACCCTCAAGGGGCGTACAATCTAAGGTCCCTAACCCTCAAGGGGCGTACAATCTAAGGTCCCTAACCCTCAAGGGGGGTACAATCTAAGGTCCCTAACCCTCAAGGGGCGTACAATCTAAGGTCCCTAACCCTCAAGGGGCGTACAATCTAAGGTCCCTAACCCTCAAGGGGCATACAATCTAAGGTCCCTAACTCACATTCATACATACACATACTAGGGACAGGTTAGACAGGAGCCAAGTCACCTACCAGCATCTCTTTGGAGTGTCGGAGTAAACCAGGAGTTCCCAGAGGAAACCCACGCAGGCACAGGGAGAACATGCAAACTCCAGGCAGGTGGTGCCGTGGTTGGGATTTGAACCAACAACCCCAGTACTGCCAGGTGGAAGTGCTAACCATTTAGCCACTGTGCTGCCATATGTGCTGGGAGCACGCAGGGAGCGTGCTCTCAGCACGTGTTTTCAAATGGTACGCAAACTGCCGAGAGGCCGCATATTTGCGTACGGTCGGCGCTAAAGGGGTTAAATGTGTTACAATTGTAATTTTGACATTCGGATACATTCGAAACTCTGAATAATGAACATTTTGTTCGAATCTCAATTCGGAACGCAATGAACCGCACACGTCTAATCACAATGTTTGTCTCTTACTTGGACTCCTCGTGCTCCACCCACTGGTACATCTCCACCTGGCGCTTCAGCTTCACACATTGTACGGAAACCCCATAGTTTGGATCGAAGAGCGGCTGCCATTGGGTGAAAAAAAAAAAAAAAAAAAAATCAATCAGAATTTTTACAATGTAAGGAGAAAAGAACCAATACAGCAAATGTCAAACCCCCAAGTCATCTCCGTGTCCAAGATTCCAATTTCCAGGGCATCTCAGAGCCTCCAAAAACTAAAATATTACAAACTGCCCCATGCTGAGGAAAGCTAGGTGCACATTGGAGCGGGTTTATTTATTAATTTCAGGTACTTATATATCGCCATCAATTTACGCAGCACTTTACATATATATTGTACATTCACATCAGTCCCTAACCCTCAAGGGGCGTACAATCTAAGGTCCCTAACCCTCAAGGGGCGTACAATCTAAGGTCCCTAACCCTCAAGGGGCGTACAATCTAAGGTCCCTAACCCTCAAGGGGCGTACAATCTAAGGTCCCTAACCCTCAAGGGCGTACAATCTAAGGTCCCTAACCCTCAAGGGGCGTACAATCTAAGGTCCCTAACCCTCAAGGGCGTACAATCTAAGGTCCCTAACCCTCAAGGGGCGTACGGTCTAAGGTCCCTAACCCTCAAGGGGCGTACAATCTAAGGTCCCTAACCCTCAAGGGGCGTACAATCTAAGGTCCCTAACCCTCAAGGGGCGTACAATCTAAGGTCCCTAACCCTCAAGGGGGCGTACGATCTAAGGTCCCTAACCCTCAAGGGGGCGTACGATCTAAGGTCCCTAACCCTCAAGGGGGCGTACGATCTAAGGTCCCTAACCCTCAAGGGGGCGTACAATCTAAGGTCCCTAACCCTCAAGGGGGCGTACAATCTAAGGTCCCTAACCCTCAAGGGGCGTACAATCTAAGGTCCCTAACCCTCAAGGGGCGTACAATCTAAGGTCCCTAACCCTCAAGGGGCGTACAATCTAAGGTCCCTAACCCTCAAGGGGCGTACAATCTAAGGTCCCTAACCCTCAAGGGGGCGTACGATCTAAGGTCCCTAACCCTCAAGGGGGCGTACGATCTAAGGTCCCTAACCCTCAAGGGGGCGTACGATCTAAGGTCCCTAACCCTCAAGGGGGCGTACAATCTAAGGTCCCTAACCCTCAAGGGGGCGGTACAATCTAAGGTCCCTAACCCTCAAGGGGCGTACAATCTAAGGTCCCTAACCCTCAAGGGGCGTACAATCTAAGGTCCCTAACCCTCAAGGGGCGTACAATCTAAGGTCCCTAACTCACATTCATACATACACATACTAGGGCCAATTTAGACAGGAGCCAATTAACCTACCAGCATGTCTTTGGAGTGTGGGAGGAAACCCACGCAGGCACAGGGAGAACATGCAAACTCCAGGCAGGTGGTCATGGTTGGGATTTGAACCAACAACCCTTGTACTGCCAGGTGGAAGTACTAACCATTTAGCCACTGTGCTGCCCATCCTATAGCATTGGGGATGACAGAGGTCTGCGGCCATGGAGATGACCTTTGTCTTGGAAATCATCGTTTGAGGCTTTCTATGCTTTGTGACTCCTTGTGGGTCGAATTGTGAAGGTGACCACGCACGCTAGCCGGTGGAGGATTTGTTCGTTTGTGGTTTGTGTTTGCAGCACTGGATGTGTCTTGGCATGCACTGAAGATTTGCTGTTTTTTTTCTGGATTTTTCTCTAAACTTTTGGGACTGGTCATATATATATATATATATATATATATATATATATATATATATATATATATATATACACACACATACACACATATACATACACACACACACACATATATATATATATATATATATATATATATATATATATATATATATATATATATATATATATATATATATATATATATATATATATACACACACGCACACACACACACATATACACACACACAGGTGAAACTCGAAAAATTTGAATATTGTGCAAAAGTTCATTTATTTCAGTGCAGCAACTTAAAAGGTGAAACTAATATATGAGACTCATTCCATGCAAAGCAAGATAGTTCAAGCCGTGATTTGTCATCATTGTGATGATTATGGCTTACAGCTCATGAAAACCCCAAATCCACAATCTCAGAAAATGAGAATATTGTGAAATGGTGGAATAATCTCGGCTCAAAGTGTCTCACTCTAATCAGCTCATTCAGCCATAACACCTGCAAAGGGTTCCTGAGCCTTTAAATGGTCGCTCAGTCTGGTTCAGTAGGAATCACAATCATGGGAAAGACTGCTGACCTGACACCATCACTGACACCCTCCATAAGGAGGGAAAGCCTCAAAAGGTCATTGCAGAAGAAGTTGGATGTTCCCAAAGTGCTGTATCAAAGCTCATTAATAGAAAGTTATGTGGAAGGGAAAAGTGTGGAAGAAAAAGGTGCACAAGCAGCAGGGATGACCGCAGCCTGGAGAGGATTGTCAGGAAAAGGCCATTCAAAAGTGTTGGGGACTTTCACAAGGAGTGGACTGAGGCTGGAGTCAGTGCATCAAGAGCCACCACACACAGACAGATCCTGGACATGGGCTTCAAATGTCGTATTCCTCTTGTCAAGCCGCTCCTGAACAACAAACAACGTCAGAAGCGTCTTATCTGGGCTAAAGAAAAACAGACCTGGTCTGTCCTCAGTGGTCCAAAGTCCTCTTTTCTAAAGAGCAACTTTTGCATACAAGTACCTGAAATGAATAAATAGGACAAATGCTGGACTTGTGTTGTAAGAGGAGGGCCCCTTAAAGGAGAAGCCACAGCAGGTTCTCATTGTGCAGCGGCCACACAAAGCCTGGAGCCTCATCTTCATTAGTCGGCCCCGCCCAGCTCAAATATTTGCCATTGAACACAGGGTGAAGGGGCGTGGCCAATAGGATTTCTAAAATATCAGCTGCCTGGCTGTCCTATGGATCAAAGCAATGAGCCATTTTAGTAGCAGAGGAGCCAGTCTAAGGCTGGCCATACACTCTACAATTTTATGTCCAATTTGTGCCCAATTGCCTTTAGATTTACCTTCAACTAAGTATTGCGGGAGCCTGCCTAACTGGATACAACTGAAAGTGTTGTTTAGGTTTGACCTCCTATTATAGATTGTAAGCTCCCAGGATCAGGGCCCTCCTATCCCTCGTGTATTGAACTGTATTGTTGCTGTATTGTCTCCCGTTATATTGTAAAGCGCTGAGCAAACTGTTGGCGCTATATAAATCCTGTATAATAATATAATAATATATAAATCCTGTATAATAATATATATAAATCCTGTATAATAATAATAATAATAATAATATATAAATCCTGAATAATAATAATATATAAATCCTGTATAATAATAATAAATAAATCCTGTATAATAATAATAATATATAAATCCTGTATTATAATAATAATAATAATAATATATAAATTCTGTATAATAATAATATATAAATCCTGAATAATAATATATAAATCATGTATAATAATAATAATAATAATAATATATAAATCCTGTATAATAATAATAATATATAAATTCTGTATAATAATAATATTAATATATAAATCCTGAATATTAATAATATATAAATCCTGTATAATAATAATAATATATAAATCCTGTAAAATAATAATATATAAATCCTGTAAAATAATATATAAATCCTGTATAATAATAATAATCATAATATATAAATCCTGTATAATAATAATAATAATAATAAATAAATCCTGTATAATAATAATAATAATAATATATAAATCCTGTAAAATAATAATATATAAATCCTGTATAATAATAATAATAATATATAAATCCTGAATAATAATAATATATAAATCCTGTATTATAATAATAATAATAATATATAAATCCTGTATAATAATATATAAATCCTGTAAAATAATAATATATAAATCCTGTATAATAATAATAATAATAATATATAAATCCTGTATAATAATAATATATAAATCATGTATAATAATAATAATAATAATATATAAATCCTGAATAATAATAATATATAAATCCTGTATAATAATAATAATAATAATAATATATAAATCCTGAATAATAATAATATATAAATCCTGTATTATAATAATAATAATATATAAATCCTGTATAATAATAATATATAAATCCTGTATAATAATATATAAATCCTGTAAAATAATATATAAATCCTGTATAATAATAATAATCATAATATATAAATCCTGTATAATAATAATAATATATAAATCCTGAATAATAATATATAAATCCTGTATAATAATAATATATAAATCCTGTATAATAATATAAATAATAATACTAATATTATATGGTTTTTGTTAAATCTAAACCAAAAATCTCAAGAAAATTGTATAATGTATGGCCAGCCTAACCATTTCTCTGGGTGCAGGTTTACAATCAATGCTTAGAAACCCAGATCTCCACTCCCTTCTCGAATAGTTTTATTCCAGATTTCACGTCTCCTGGTCCCGATGATTCATCAGAGCCAACGCCCCATAGAGTCTGACAGCTTTCCAACATTGTAAACTCATGACCACACACATTTTTTTATTAAAGAAGATTTTTTTTTTTTTAAAGTAAATTTTTTTGTTAACACCATTATTGCTGTCACAAAGAATGTAATCATCCCGTCTTTACAGAGAGATCTGGGGTCTTTACACAGCACAAAAAAAATGATTAATGTGAAAAAAAAGGTCCAAATAAAGTCCAAAAGATATATACAAAAATATATATAAATTGCGCTCAATCCCAAAAATAGTGCTCAAAAAAATCTTCAACATAAAAGCACATGGGCTTTTTTTTCACATTAATAATTTTTTTTTGCGCTGTGGAGTGTTTAGATTTATAATTGATTGTATTTTTCCTTTCTTGAACAGCAGCATTTATATTTTGATGGTGGTATATATATCATTTTTTCTGTGGCGCAAGTTTATTATATTTTTACTCATTTTTTTTTCACACCATAATGAGCTTTTGCAGCTTCAGTGTAATTAATTTCCACCTCCATATGGTGGCTACGTTGCCTTGCAGGGTTTCCCTGGAAGCTGATTGTAGCCCCCCCCCCCCCCCAACATGAGTGCTTCTGGCCAGGTATGCATCATCAGGTGCATGTTTGGGGTGCAATGCTTAGGGCGCACATTATGGATGGGGTCTTGACCGCTCCACCATGTTAAGAGCGCACATAAACACTGTACATAAGGTCAACAGCTCTGCCACATGTTTTTACTGCCCCCCCAGCCACAAATGTAAACAAGCCCTAAATGTTATAGGTGAGAGTTTAATTAATACGACTTTTATTTATAGTAAACAAAACAGGAACATAAACACTATATAATAATGTCAAAAGATAAAAGAGGGCATATCCCATATAATCTCACAGGCAACACATTTTATCAACAGAGGATGCTGGGAGAAGTCACAAGGATCTCGATCATTGAGAAAACATGAAACGGTTTTTCCCTTTTTGTTTGGTGGTCTGTTCAAACGAAAAAAAAAACAGGCCCCACACAGTTACCAACAGCACAATCTGGCAGTCATTTTAGTTTAACCCCTTCCCGACTGGCCGTTGCATATAAACGGGCCGGACGGTGGCAGTACAGGGTCGGGTGGTGGCCGTTTACGAACGGCCTCCCCGCACCCTGCTGGTGCGCGCTCCCTGGGAGCGCGCAGCACCGCGATCCGGTGCCCGCTGTGTCCTCCGGACACAGTGAAACACCGATCGTTGGACGGGACCTCTGTGCGAGGTCCCGATCATGTGATCACTGATTGGCCAATCAGTGATCACATGCAAAGTAGTAAGCAAGATGTCACTTGTGACATCATTGCTTACTACGTGTGAAATCTGTGAATGATCACAGAGGTCACATGGTACAGGGCTATTCACAACAGCCTTGTACCATGTGACAAGCTGTGACCAATCACAGCTCACTCAGTATTTCTCAATGGCTGCAGGAATGCAGACAGAGAGAAAGAGAAATGATTGCTTTTACATCCTATATGGGTGTAAAAGCAATCATTGTAAAAAAAAAAAAAAAAAAAAAAAAAAAATCTTCATCACCCTCCACAAGTAGTACAGTGTCACCATGGTGACACTGTACTGCTAGGGTGACGTAAAAAAAAAAATAAATAAATAAAAAATAATAATAAAAAAATAAAAAAATAAAAATGTAAAAAAAAAATGTTTAAAAATTATAATTTTTGGTTATAAACTAATTTTGTTTTTGTTTTTTTTTTACTAAAAAGATAACGAAATACATTTTGGCAAAGATTTATGATGAAATATTATTTATTTGCAAAATTTTTTATTAAAAAAAAAACACTTTTGTTCAAAATTTTTGGACATTTTTATTTACATAGCAAAAAAAAAAAAAAAATAAAAGTCCCAGCAGTGAATAAATACCACCAAAATAAAGCTTTATCTGTCGCAAAAAAAATGGTAAAAAATTCATTTGGGTACAGTGTTGCATGACTGCGCAATTGTCATTCAAAGTGTGATAGCGCTGAAAGCTGAAAATTGCCCTGGTCAGGAAGGGGGTGGAAAGTGTCCAGACAGGAAGGGGGGGAAAGTGTCCAGACAGGAAGGGGTGGAAAGTGTCCAGACAGGAAGGGGGGGAAAGTGTCCGGTCTGGAAGTGGTTAAAGGAGAAGTAGAGCCAAAGCTTGTTCGTTCTGTACTAATAACACTGGCTGGGAAGGGGTTAACATCAAGGGGTTTACTGTGTTTAATGTTCGGTATGTGTACTGTTTTTACTAGGCAATGTGTCGGTTTTTACTCCTTTGCAGGGAGAAAAAAAAAAAAAAAGGCACTTCACCGCTGTCCGTAGAGTGTAACGTGTGCGGCTTTTACTCACAGATCTGGCTGCTCTTTCTCCCTGAACTCAGAATTGATTGCAGGTAGAAGAAACAGCCAGATCGCTGTTCTGTGTATTTGTAAGCACAGAACTCGGTTCTGTGATTGGCCACAGCTGATCAGCAGGTATACAGCCAAAGTCATTGACTGAAACCTGCTGACGAATTTGTGCTGTGACCAATCACAGCACAGTTCAGCAGGGGGGTGGGGGCAAACCCAGAAAAAGACAGTGGGATACGAGTACGTCACCCAGCCTGTGGCTGCTGCCTGCCCGCAGTAAATGTACTCTGTGCGGTTGGAAAGCGGTTAAAGGAAATGACCACAGCGTACATTTCCACTTTATAACATCGGCACTGTAATACCAATACAAACAATAGTTATTATTGACAATTTTTAACCTTTTGGCGCCGGCCGCCGCACGCAAATGTGCGGCTTTCCGGCGTCTGGGCCTTGACGCCGAGCGGCCGCACATTTGCATGCAATTAAGAAAAACATATGTGCTGAGAGCGTGCGCCCTCCACGCTCCCAGCACACATGTCCGGTACTCACAGAAAGGTCCCGATCTCCTATTTCAATCGGCACCTTTCCCAATCATGTGACCCCCGTGACGGCGAATCACATGTCCCTAATCCCCGCCCTGGAAACCCTTAAAGGGCCGGGAGGCGCCGGTGCCAGGGGGTTAATCTCAACTGAAATATCTCCTTTCGGTCCTACGTGCCAATCCATACATTGGTCCAGTCCCGAGATTACCTCTTCTTTTCGGGAAGTCACACATCCCTTCTCCCCCTCCTATTTTCCCCCCTCTTGGTCTCCGATATTCTTTCCTTCTTTTCATCCTGCTCCCACCTTTTTTTTTTTCCCTTCACCTTTCATGGAACCTACATTCTGGGGAGCGATACTCCCGATTTAAATCATAAAGGTTTTACTTCCCTTTGTATTGCATTATCCCCAATTGTTTCACTATGGTTCCCTGTTGCATGTTTTTGTACGACATTTTCCTTCTTGCCTTTGGGCAACATGTTCTCCTTTATTCCTGAGCTTTTTACTAGGGAGACTTGCTGCTGTGTATTTGTCTGGTGTGCAGAGATCCCGGGTCCTTCCCCGCCACCCTATAGTAGAACTACTGCTACAGGGTGGCAGGGCTGCGCAAAATCACTGCCCCACCCACGCCACCATTGGCGGCTGCGGGTGTCAGTCACCAGGTCCCGGCCGGAGATTCCCCGCCGGCACCCCGCGATCGCCGAGTAACACTGACAGGGGAGAAACCTGAGTGTAAAAACCCGGGTCTCTCTCCTGCCAGTGTTACTCGGCGATCACCGGGTGCCGGCGGGGAATCTCCGGCCGGGACCCGGTGACTGACATCTGGTGGCGTGGGTAGGGCAGTGATTTTGCACAGCCTTGTAGCAGTAGTTCTACTATAGGGCGCCGGGGAAGCGGTTAAACATTATTCCATCTATCCATACAAAGAAAACAAAAAAAAAAAGTCGGAGTCCCGCTTTAACAAAACCACTGGTGCTGCTTTGTTTGGTCATGATTGGTACTTACAGGTGATGTCTGCAGAACTCCGGATACATGGAGTAATTTTGCCTCATTCACGGGGTCTACTCTTTGGATATTTCCAATCGTAACTACAACAGACAGGCCTTCATCCAGGGATGCCGCTGTTTGCACCGCTCGACCCTACAAGACGACATTTGAAAAAGGGAAAAAAAAAAAAAAAAAAGTTACTGCGTTCCGACATCTATGCCGCAAACTGCTAAAGATCTGGCGAAAATGCTGTTGTGGGAATAAAACCAAAAACAGTCGACCTTCCAAAAGAATACTGCAGCACGGTTTCACAAGAAGATCGAAGGCAAAAAAAAACTGTTCAGTTGTCATTCTCATCCTGACGCTACTATATCCACTTCAGCTCCAGAAGGTTTTACCCTCCTTCATGACCAGGACATTTTTCTTTTTTGCTGTTCAGCACTGCGCTACTTTAAATGGCAATTGCGCGGTCATGCAACTCTGTACCCATATGAAATTTATATCTTTTTTTCCCACAAATAGAGCTTTCCTCTAGTGGTATATGATCATCACTTGGGTTTTTTTTTTATTTTTTGTGATATAAATGAAAAAAAAAAAAAAACATTTTGGAATAAAACAATATTTTCCACTTTCTGTCATAAAATATATCCAATAAAATCAAATCTCGCCATACATTCAGGCCAAAATGTATTCTGCTAAAGTCTTTGGTAAAAAAAAAAAAAAAAAAAATCCCAAAAAGTGTATATTAACCTCCCTGGCGGTATGATTATGTCAGGAATTTTCTACCAAAAACGGTACCATTTTTTGCATGGAAATATGTATTTTTGAAGGCCTGTAATTTAGGAATAACTCACTGAAATCTGTCAGAACAAGAGTCTAGTAAACATCCCGGGGAGGATAAAACTTGAAACATGAAATCATAAATTATAATTTAATAAATAATCATAAAAAATAATAATAAAATAATAAATGTAATTCAATAATATAATCAAACCAAAAACACTGAAATGTGAAATAGAGCGCCAAGTTCGCACATCGTTGAGCAAAGTCGCAGAATCGTTTTCAGTGTCTGATGAGGAATTTCCCCCACCAATCATTATCACTCAATTCTGCAAGTGGTTCTGATTTACTATCGCTGTTCTCTAGCCGGTCTAAAACCGCGTCTGACCTAAAGGGACGCTTTTTGGACGCCATGGACGTTTCTCAGTTTCCGGGCAGAAAGAACAGTAAAAATGCAGGCAGGGCGCCGGACAAAGCACTCGGGACACAATGTATGTGAAATGGTTTGATACAGGAATGTTTTGCTATGAAATAATTGTTTAAAAAAAAAAAAGTCATTGTTTTTAAATTTTCAAATTTCCCGCCGGTTCCGGCGCCCGTATGTCCCCATGTCACAGGGACCGGAACACGGAAGCCAGCATCGGCCGGAGGAGATGGCCGGGGACGCTGCAGGGGACGCATCGCGGGAACGAAGGACAAGGTAAGCGCTGTAGGGAATCCCTGAGCAATGCCGCATGGTAAGCCGAGTGTAGCTCTTGGTACAGAAACTTTACCCCGAGCTACACTCAGGAATACCGCCAGGGAGGTTAATTGGTTTGTGTGAAAGGTATAGCGTCTACAAACTATTTGAGAATTGATCAGTCCTCATGTAGTGACGGCTGATCTCTTTTTTTGACGCCCTAAAATGCCAGGACAGTACAAATTACCCCCAAATTACCCCTTTTTTTTGGAAGTTAGACAGTCTATGGCAGGGGTGTCAAACCGGCGGACCTCCGGCTGTGGCGAAACTACAAGTCCCATCATGCCTCTGCCTTTGGGAGTCATATTTGTAACTGCCCGCCTTGCAATGCCTCATGGGACTTGTAGTTTGGCAACAGCTGGAGGGCCGCCAGTTTGACACCCGTGGTCTAAGGCATTTAGTAAGAATCGTGGAGAGTTTTTTGAAGTTGTAACTTTTTGTCACAATTTTTTTGAAAATAAAGAAATTGAATAAAAAAAAATTTTTTTTCTTTTTGCATACTGTCACCAGTGCATTACAGCGTCATCATATGACTGGTGTGGCGGTGATCAGGGACACTGACTGGTGACAATGGGAATAATTCATTAAAGATTATCGCATGCAATATGGAAAATGTCAATTCACGATTATCGCAAAACGCTCACTAAATACCGCATAAAAAAAGACCTTAAAAGTCAATTGACAGACGGAAATAATTAAATGAATGCGGTCATTAAGTAGTGGTCGGGGCATGTGGTATGTACTGGCTGGTAAAGAGCAGGCGGCCGCTGGCATCCTTAACCACTTCCCGTCCGGCCCATATACATAAACGGACAACAAGAGCAGTGCAGGGGACCATTTATAAACGTCCTCCCGCATTCCCTGCCTGTACGTGCTCCCTGGGAGTGTGTGCGGCACCGCGATCTGCTGTCTGGGGGGACACAGCGGAACGCCGATCGCTGTACGAGACCTCTGTGTGAGATCTAATCATGTGATCACTGATTGGCCAATCAGTGATCACATGCAGAGTAGTAAGCAAGGTGTCACTTCTGACATCATTGCTTACTACGTGTGAAATCTGTGACTGATCACTGAGATCACATGGTACAGGGCTATTCACAACAGCCTTGTACCACGTGACAAGCTGTGACCAATCACAGCTCTCACAGTATTTCTCAATGGCTGCAGGAATGCAGCCAGAGAGAAGGAGAAATTATTGCTTTTACAGCCTTTATGGGTGTAAAGCAATTAGTGTTAAAAAAAAAAAAACTTCATCACCCCCCACAAGTAGTACAGTGTCACCATGGTGACACTGTACTGCTAGGGTGACAGTATGCAAAAAAAAAAAAACAAAACAAAAAAATCCCTCATAAATAATATTAAAAAAGAAAAGAAAAATGTTAAAAAATGAAAAAAAAAAATCTTCATCACCCCCCGCAAGTAGTACAGTGTCACTATAATGACACTGTGCTGCTGGGGTGACAGGTGACAGTATGCAAAAAAAAAAAAAAACAACAAAAAAACCCCCCATAAATAATAAAAAGAGAAAATAATTTAAAAAAAGAAAAAAAAAATCTTCATCACCCCCTACAAGTAGTACAGTGTCACTATGATGACACTGTACTGCTGGGGTGACAGTATGCAAAAAAACACAAAAACAAAAAAACCCCCCATAATAAAAAAAAAAACTGTAAAAAAAGTAAAAAAAAAAATCTTCATCACCCCCAAGTAGTACTGTGTCACTTTAATAATAATATTAAAAAAATAAAATAAAAATTAAAAAATGGTTTTTGAAAAATTATAATATTTGGTTATAAACTAATGTCGTTTTTTTTTTTTTTTTACTGAAAAAGATAGTTGAATACATTTTGTCTAAGATTTATGAAGAAAGATTATTTATTTGCAAAATTTTATAAGAAAAACAATTTTTTTTTTTTTTAAATGTTTCGACTTTTTCATTTATATAGCAAAAAAATAAAAATCCCAGCGGTGAATAAATACCACCAAAATAAAGTTTTATCTGTCTCAAAAAAATGCTAAAAAATTCATATGGGTGCAGTGTTGCATGACCGCGCAATTGTCATTCGACACGTGATATCGCTGAAAGCTGAAAATTGGCCTGCACAGGAAGGGGGTGAAAGTGTCCGGACTGGAGGGGGGGGGGGGGGGGAAAGTGTCCGGACTGGAAGGGGGGGGGGGGGGAAAGTGTCCGGACTGGAAGGGGGGGGGGGGAAAGTGTCCGGACTGGAAGGGGGGGGGGAAAAAGTGTCCGGACTGGGGGGGGGGGGGGGGGAAAAGTGTCCGGACTGGAAGGGGGGGGGGGGGGGGAAGTGTCCGGACTGGAAGGGGGGGGGGGAAAGTGTCCGGACCGGAAGGGGGGTTCAGTGTTCCAGTCTGCGGGATTCTCACCTCATTACTGAACAGAAGGTAGAAGGACAGACAGAAGGAGATCAGGCCGATCCCCATCCCCCCGGCCGTGTCACTGAGACGCTCCAGGAATCCCGCCTTTGGCTCCGTCTTCACAGTGCTGTGCTCCCGCATTGTGTCTGTGTACTGAGAACACCACAACAGAAAGTCAGCGGAGTCCCCCCATAACATGACCAGCAAACAGCTCACCTGGCTGAAGACAGAGACAGTACATAGAGGTATGGTGCAGGGTAGGGCAGACGTACCCCAGTATAGTACATAGGGAGGAGATAGGACGGTATAGTACATAGGGAGGAGATAGGGAGGTATAGTACATAGGGAGGAGATGGGGAGGTATAGTACATAGGGAGGAGATAGGACAGTATAGTACATAGGGAGGAGATAGGACAGTATAGTACATAGGGCAGTATAGTACATAGGGAGGAGATGGGGAGGTATAGTACATAGGGAGGAGATAGGGAGGTATAGTACATAGGGAGGAGATAGGGAGGTATAGTACATAGGGAGGAGATAGGGCAGTATAGTACATAGGGAGGAGATGGGGAGGTATAGTACATAGGGAGGAGATAGGGAGGTATAGTACATAGGGAGGAGATGGGGAGGTATAGTACATAGGGAGGAGATAGGGAGGTATAGTACATAGGGAGGAGATAGGACAGTATAGTACATAGGGAGGAGATAGTACATAGGGCAGTATAGTACATAGGGAGGAGATGGGGAGGTATAGTACATAGGGAGGAGATAGGGAGGTATAGTACATAGGGAGGAGATAGGACAGTATAGTACATAGGGAGGAGATAGGACAGTATAGTACATAGGGCAGAGATAGGGCAGTATAGTACATAGGGCAGTATAGTACATAGGGAGGAGATAGGGCAGTATAGTACATAGGGAGGAGATAGGGCAGTATAGTACATAGGACAGTATAGTACATAGGGAGGAGATAGGGCAGTATAGTACATAGGGCAGTATAGTACATAGGGAGGAGATAGGACAGTATAGTACATAGGGCGGTATAGTACATAGGGAGGAGATAGGACAGTATAGTACATAGGGCGGTATAGTACATAGGGCAGTATAGTACATAGGGAGGAGATAGGACAGTATAGTACATAGGGCGGTATAGTACATAGGGCGGTATACAGGACATATGGAAGGACAGACAGACATTTGATGACAGATGGACATACAACAGTCTATGTAGCAGAAATCCCCCCCCCCGGGCACACACAGGCCATGCTGGGAGTTGTAGTCCCCCCGTACTTACACTCCTGCTGTGCACAGCCTCCCCTTCTCCGAGTTCTCACAACTTTATAGAAAGTGTCTGCGAGTATAACGCATGCGCAGTGTTTCCTCCTGGCAGGGTATGGGGGATCCTCCCTGATCACAGCCAGGGCCACACCCCTTCCCACCCTCTATGATTTCTGTAGCAACCAGACAAAACACACCGACAACATTCCTCTGGTCCACCCACCTCCCTGTACAGGCACTGAAAAGGGCAGACACAAGCGGGGTCCTCTTCCTTCTGCAGGCAGTAAAGCGGGCAGTACCTAATCCGGAGGTCCTCCTTTTTTTTTTGTCGCGACCGATGACGTTATCAGTGAGCGCGGAGCCGGTGTGAGTGTGAGCTGCAGACATGTCCTACTGCAGGCAGGAGGGTGAGCAAGGACACTGTGCGCAGGGCCGCTTCTGAGGGGCCCCTGAGCGGGGGAGATGGGGCCACAGGGGAGTTAAGGGGCCAGCTATGGCATTGCACATGAATTTTGTGCACCACACTGGGGGTCAGGGAGCTCTGGAGGGGTCCTAGGTCACTAGAATGGCTTCATTAACCACTTCAGTCCCAGAGACATTTTTTTAAATTGTTTTGCTCACTTATTTAAAAAAAAAAAAAAAAATAGTTTTCGGTCTGAAGATTAGTTTAACCATTTCAATACCGTGCAATTTTCCCCCTTCCTGCCCAGGCCATTTTTCAGGTTTCAGCGCTCTCACACTTTGAATGACAATTGCGCGGTCATACAACATTGTACCCAAACTAAAATGTTATCATTTTCTTCACACAACTAGAGCTTTCTTTTGGTGGTATTTAATCACCGCCGGGGTTTTTATTTTTTGCTAAATTAACAAAAAAAGAGCAAAAATTTTGAAAAAAAACCACATTTTTCTTTGTTTCTGTTATAAAAGTTTACAAATAAATAATTGTTCTTCATAAATTTAGGCCGAGATGTATTCTGCTACATGTCTTTGGTGAGAATAACCCAAATTAGGATGTATTATTTAGTTTGTAGGAAAGTTATAGAGTTCACAAACTATGGTATAGATCTGATTATTGATCAATCCTGAAGTACTGACAGCCAATCTAATTTCTTGAGGTCCAAGAATGTCAGAACAGTACAGATATCCCCCAAATGTCAGGACGGTACAGATATCCCCCAAATGTCAGGAGGGTACAGATATCCCCCAAATGTCAGGAGGGTACAGATATCCCACAAATGACCCCTTTTTGCAGAGTAGACAGTCCGACGTACTTCATAAGAGGCATGGCGAGTTTTTTGAAGTTGTATTTTTATGTCATAATTTTTCGGAAAATGAAAAAATTAAAAAAATTATTTTCACTATTTTTTTTTTACATACTGTCACCAGTGCAGTACAGCGTCATCATATAACTGGCATGGCGGTTAACAGGGACACTGACTGGTGACAGTATGAAAAAAAGATATATATATATTTTTTTTTTTTTAATTTTTTTTTTAATTTTTTTATTATTTATTTTTTATTACATTTTTTTTAAATTTTTTTTAAGATTTTTTTTTTCATATTTGACTATGACCAAAGTAGTACAATGTTACATAGTAACACTGTACTACTTTGGGGAAGTGATCAGTATTTTTTTTTTTTTACACAATTTGCTTATAGCAAAGAATTACTTTGCTATAAGCAAGCATTTACCTGAATGAAATCGATTCATTCAGCTTTTTTTTTTTTTTTTTTTTTGTGCTTAGCTGTGATTTGGTCACAGCTAATCACATGACATGTGCATGTGATTAGCTATGACCATTCACAGCTAGGCACTAGTATACAATGGATGGCATCATGAATGAAGCCATCCATTGTATACAACTGTCATGTGACCTGCTGTGATTGGTCACAGCAGGTCACATGGTACCAGCAACGGGAGCCGGTACTCGGATCTGTCATCGGCCGTGTCCGAGGTGCATGGCCCGTGACAGATCCCGCTGCTGCGCCGCTCTGCATTACCGCAAACGGCGCATGTGCGGGAGCACGCCAAATGGCGTGCACCCGGAATGAAGAGGCACATCTGAAGCCGCCAAACGGCCATTGGCCGGGCGGCTAATGGTTAAAACCCCCAAACATGATGTATTTTCTAGAAGCCGGCACGTTCTGGACGCTAAAGCTGATTTTAGAGCGCACATACGCAATATATCACCCTTTAAAAAAAAAACATAAGAGGTTGCGCTGAGTAAAAATATACCAAACCTTAAAACTGCGTGCGCCCGCGAAACCCCGACAAACCTCAGAACCCTATATTTTTCATAGGCAATGTGTTAACCCTTTCACCACCAGAGCTGTTTTTACGGTTTTTGTTTTGCACACATTTAAAAAGAAATCATTAACAGTGCACCGAAATGAAAATTCCGGTGCCGAAAACCAAAACTCAAAATACACTTGGCCGAAAACCGAAATGCGCAGTTTTTTAAAATTTAATATTTTTTTGGAAAAAAAACA